GGGGAATGGACAGGATGGGAAACAAATGGAAAACCACACCTATTATGATGCCAGAATGAATTTATGTCCCAAAGCAGATGGTACAGGAGGCAGTGCTGGCTGGTGTTTTTTTGTTAAGATACTTATTACCCAGTTGGCAGGGGGGGAAAACACATGCGTCATTTCTCAGGAAGTGACATCTTTCCTTCCAAGGGGCTCTTGGGTTTGGAGGTAGTGACCTGATTTTTTTGATTAGTCTGATGGAAGATTGTTTTCAGTGCCAGAGGGCTGGCTGGCACGTGAGGGGCTGGGGCTGAGGGCTGTGCTGACAGCTGGCTGCCTGCTCGGGCTGTGGTTCTGTTCCTGAGATCTCTGCTTTTGGGAACATCAATGTAAACAGTTTAGATAGTATGGGAATGGCTTTTTGAAGATACCTTGGTAGATATCATTGCATGTGTATGTTTTATGATACTGTTCAGCACAGAAGATGAAGCAGCACAGGGGAGGAACCTTTCCAGTATTTAAGGAAAACAAAGCCCTTGGTATAAAGGCTCAAAAATAGTTGGATTTTTTTTTCCTTCTCCTGAGAAGCATCTCTACTTGTCCTGGCCAGGGGTAGGAATGTGTGTCCATTCCTCTCACCGTGAGCATTTCACTCCCTGTCCATAACTGCTTCGCTCTGGCCATGCTGGCACATACTGTCCAAATAGCTGCTCCTGCTCTTGTGTTTCCTTAGGAGATGCCAACTCCTCTTCCTTTGTTAGTTTTAAATCATGGGAATTAAATTGTAAACAAAATGACAGCTACTCTTCTGTGATCCCACTAATGTAGGAGGATAAAGATCAGAGAGAAGACAATAATAGGGCAGAGATGAGGCAAAGGAATGTGTATTTCCATAAATAAGGGCTCATGTGAGCTTTGGATTGCTTTGGGTCCCTTAGTGCCATCTATCTAAGTTTGTCCAGTGCCCAGACTGAAAGAAAAGATTCAGTTTGTGTTGCTTGTAATTTCTCCCAAGCCTTGAATGCTCTTTAGGATCTGTGGGGTACTCTGTGTGCATGGCAGGACAAAACACTACCCACAGTAACAACAGTACTTTAATATGGGTGTTCCTTTTGTTCGGTAAATTTCTATTTCTAGAACACTTCCATTGTGGGTTTTTTTTTGTTGCTATAAAGACATATTTACATTCAGGACTTCCAAGGTCAGTAGGAACTTTGTTTCCCAAATACAGTTTGTAGAAGTGTCAGTAGTGTGGTATTTTTTTAGGTTAGACTTAAAAAATAGTGGTCTGATGAGCACCAGTGCAGATGTACAAGCTTGGCTCTTCCCCACTGACTGACCATAAATGAAACCTCTACAGATTCCCAGAGTAGTTTCTGTGGGACTTTGTAGCATAAAAATATATTGCTGCTCTTAAAGACTTTTTCTGTGTCTGTTCTTGGGTAAAAATAGTCTTTTTTTATTGAAACATCTCTTTCAATAGTATTTACTCCTCATGCACAATTGAAATATTTGGGTATCAGGAGTACTGCTGCTGCCAGATGTGGGATGCTTGCTGCTATGCCCAGTACTTTCATCCTTTTCTCTGTTGAGCAGTTGGACAAATACCTGAGGGAACTGATATGGCTACACAGAGACCTCAGTTAAGCTTAAATATGAAATTTATCGGGTTTCTAAGGGCTGTCCTTAATCCTTGTCTTTAAAAAATATCAGTTAGGAAAAAACGTGTTTTTCATTGAACTCCATCCATCAAAAATGGGATAATGAAGGGGAGCAGAGGTGTTTCAGTTCTGGCACTGGTTGGTTTCCCAGTACTGTACAGCTGGAGTGATCCCAGCTTAGGGGGAATGTTCATTTAGGGACAGTCAGAAGGAAATGTGTCTAGACTTCTGACTGAACATGGAACTGGTGTTGTTCCATAGAGCTCATGTGAAATTGGAGGGGTTACCATTATTTTGGAAACTGTTCAGGTTGGAGGGGTGTTTTTGTGTTGCCATGCTGACATGCTTTTCTTGAAGATAAGTAAAAATTGTAGATAGTTTCTGGGGTGAGGCTAGTAATAGAAGTTTATCATTAACTAGGGTATGGCTGTGAAGTTCTCTTCATCTCCTTTCATTTCTCAAGTACTTGAGATAAAGAAACCCCTTCGGGATTGAGAGAGCTTTGTAGGAGTAAGGTAAAGTCAAGCGACTTGGGGTGTTCATGGAATCAAGGGAGGATTTTTGCCTGGTTAACTGTGCAACATTTGGTAGTTAAGAGGAAAATAAAAGGCAAACTGGTGTGCCAAGGACAGGCTTATTGTCCCCTCTGGGTTATTTTTATATGAGGAAGAGCAATGAGATCTTGGCAATAAACTCAGGTTCTTATGTGGTGTCAGGTTCTTATTAAGTGGTACCCAGGTAGTTTGTTTCCCTAAATTTTAAATTTAAGTAGTAAGGCAGTACGGGTGACTGGCAGTTAGCCAATGAGCCAACCATGCTGTATTTATATAGAAGAAACACCACGTGTCCCTCAAGAATGTCTCTCCATATCCTCTTTGTCGCTGCCAAAGCTGCTGCCAAGTATTGACCAGAAGCATGAGTCCATGGATCACCCTCCTTGCTTGGGAATGGAGTGGATTACATGGGTTTGGAAAAGCACTGTGATTCTGATGAATGATCATGCTCCCCATCTTGCCTGAGGTGTGAGTGCTTGGAGCCTGAGCTTGGAGCTGTAGTAACCTGAGTGCTGTTTGTGAGTAAATATAAAAATAACCCCGAATACCTGCAGTTCAGCTCTAGCCTTGCTGCCTCATTTCCTTGAGTGCTTATAAATACTTATTTAGTCAATGTGATTTCCTCAAAGTCAGGATTTTATCTTACTATCTTAAATGATAAATGGTGCAGGAAACTTTCCCTGATGTTCTCCATTCAAAAAACGAGGAATGAACCATATCCTGCTGCAAGTTGAACATATCTGTAAGGAAAAACTGTGGTTGTAGGGATGCAGCTCACACCAGAATCACCCATGAGTCACCACTGAGATGCCACATGTTGAGAAAAGGAGAATTTACGTTTTTTATAAGGCAGTTCCTTTCTCCTTCTTTCACAATTCACAGGGAAAGTTTCCTTTTGGTTTGGATTTTAATGACCTCATTCCTTCATATGAAATCCCTGTAAATGAAAGCCTTGTTTTTACCCCACAGTTGTGTTTAACAGGACGCATTCATGGAGAGGAATAATTGCACTTAGCTTGCAAATTCAAGACCAGTGGTTTGTAGGAAACAAATATCATGTTAAAGAGTTTCCCTGCACTAATTATTTCCAAAGTACAAGCAGCCAAGCAAAGCCTTACTGGTAGGAAAGTATTAATTTAAAGAGAAGTAAAATTGTCCATGGCTAAAGTAATTCTTCTGCAGTTGTGAGATATTACTGGGACTTGCTGGTGCAATCAGCTTTGTTTTGGTTAATGATTGTGTTTCTTATGAGGTGAAGCTTCAGTGAGATGATGTGATGTTAATAATTCTTGTCCTTCATCCTCTTAATTGGGCGTGAGGTCACCTAACTACTCTTGACCAGATCAGTTGCAGTAAAGAGCAAACAGATGAGGTTAAAGTGTGTTTGGCAAGTGACAGGTTTAGAAAACATAAGACTTTTTTTCCTTCACAAAAAATAAACTTATTCCACATTTTAGACCTAAGCTAAGGCTTAGGAAAGTGATGCATGCTTGGGTTGCCATTATTGTAAAAAATGACTTGGGAATGTTCTGGTTTGTGATTTGATTTGCTTGCCACATAAATTTGAGAACTGGATTTGCATCCAGAAGTCTTTGCTGATGTTTGTCTTCTCCAGTAGTACCTGTTTGGATGGTGCAGAAGCCACATAGCTAAGACTCACCCCATGTCTTTTTCCTTTTTTTTTTTTTTTTTTAATTATTTTTTAATATAAAGCAAATGAGCCTAAGCTCCACTGCAAACTTTCATAAATTCAATGAAAACAGACATTTCCCTGGTTTACTTGCAATGGTGCAATCATAATTTTAGTATAGAATATTCAGAGAAGTCACTGAACTAGCTTGGTGTTGCATTTATTTCATTCTCAAATGCTAAATTTGGAGGAAGACAAGAATTTTGGGCATGCTGCTGTTGTGTGATAACTCTGTTTGCTCCTCTTTTCAGATATTGTGGATGGAAGTGACCTGAAGCAATTTTTTGACAACAATTATTCTCAAATTTATTTTATATTCTATGAAAACTTCATAACACTGGAAAATAGCTTGAAACAAAAAGGTAAGTTTTAGAGCTTTGTCAGCAGCTGTTGGTCAGTGTTCCCTAACTGTTCTCCAGAGCATTCCCTTAGAGCTTTTCTAATGATTGTGTAGTTCTCAATTACCTGTATTTGCATTAATAGCTTCATGCAGTACAGTGCTGGTATTATTAATTATTTTAATTTTATGGTAGCAGAGGAGATGAACATGGAAAATTGCTCTCTGAAATGTCAGCAGCAGCAGCAAAGATTTCTGAATGCGTTTTTATAACTAAGTGCTCAAAAATGAGTTCTTGTGCATTTACACATACCCTCTGACCTTGCTCTGGTGTGTCAAAGGCCTCAGTCCTACAGCTCAGTCTGTTCAGCTGAGGCATGGTCAGAGCAGAGAGAGGCACTGGAGTTTGTGCTCCTTGGTTGTTAGTGAAAAATAAACTGAGTGCAACATTTTTGACTTCAGTTGGATAACAACAACCTAATTGTGCTGTTTGTCTTGTCCTGTACAGTTATGGCAAACAATATTGTTTTGTGTCTTGCAGGGAATAAATCACAAAGGGAGGAGCTGGACTCCATCCTCTTTCTTTTTGAAGTAAGTTTTCCATACCATAATTAATTTCTGTCTTAAATCTTGTTGCCATTCTGTGCTTGCTTAGAGATTTACTGTGAGGGATGAAACCAGATGTCAGTCACAGTGGCACGAGGTGAAAGGCAGGACGGAACTGAGGTAGGCATTAAGCTTTAAGATGTAACAATTTTATTATGCAGTGAGAGGATTGGGTTAATGAATGTGCAACGTTAAGAGATTTTATCAGAACTCCTTGGAAATCACACAGGAACACATCTGTCCTGAGGGACCAGGGACCAGTGCTGTGGTTTTGGGGAGAATTTGAGAGCACGTGTTTGCATAGCTTCTGTTAGACTAAAGCTTTTGGAGGGGTATGTTTTCTTTTGTTTCTTTTTAATTTTAATTAAGCAAGGTGTTGTTTTAGTGTGTAATGGATGGCCACTTCAAAACAACAGCACATTTTCCCTACTTTCTGTCAGTAGGAAGTTCAGCATTAGGTTTGTTTTGAATGTCTCACAGCAGGAGTTTGGGCTCTGCCCCTTTCAGATGGAGACACCTGTTATCATTGCAGTGTTGGGCCTTTAAGCATAAGGGGAATAAAAGGATAGGTGTTGTCAGCTACTGCACATCAGTTTGATCTGAGTGTGTGAAGTGCTAATTTGTTAAACTTTTTAAAATTTTAATTCAGTGGAGCATCTTTCACTCCCAGAAGCATATCCTTCCCTCCTTCCCAGCACTGGCTGTCAGAGCATGGGCAGTGTCTGGGGAGGAAATGTTACCTAGTCAACTTCTGCATAATCAAAGTAGGATGGCTTTAATTTAAAGAATAGTCTGGGTTAGATAATTTTTCAAGATACCTCCTTAATTAGAACTACTACTTAAATATATTTGGTTGTGAGAAAATACCACTGGACCAGTGAGAGCCTAACATATAAAAAGTTCTTGTAACACACACTGAAAATCTTAGCATGAGCTCTGCCTGTCTCTCTAGTCAGAAAGCAGTGGCCCTTTTAATTATTTTTGAGAGGGTTTTTTCAACAATGAATTCAGTTAAATAATTGGCTAGGTTTCTTTCTTAAGGTTAAACACACGTGTTTTCTATTGATTGCTCTCTATTTCCCTTTTCTTGATCTCTCTCTCTCTTTGTTAATCCAACTACTAACTTTTTACTTGAGTACTGCATCACAGCAATGTCATCTTTGTTTATATTCTGGGTTATTTTTTGGTAGGGGTGGTAGGAAAAAACCTCAAAATTTCAATGGGGTACTAAAAATTCAACTTAAAGACTAATTGTTCTCAGCTCTTATCACTCCCTCTGAAAAACCCCAACCCAAACCCGCAGAAGTCTATGGCTTCATGGTTTTGCATTAATGAGTAGTTTGTAGCTGGAATGGTATTTATATTGACAAGAAGAATGATGCTGTGTAGCCTAACATGCCTATAATGGGAGAAATGGCCATGAAGATGATGGCATGAAATCCTGAGGGTTTGTGGTCTCACTTTGAAGGTAGCCATTTATCTCCATTTTCCTCTTCTTCCTCCCTTCTCCCCTGTACCTACACGTCTGCATTTTCACACTGAAATCTGAACTGTGCTTTCTGCTCCTTATGACATTAGTGCAAGAGTTTGCTTTAGGGTTTTGCCTGAGGCAGTGTCAGAGAACATGAGTTCGTAGATTTGTCAGGACTCTGTTTGGGGCAGGACAAACTCTTCCTCCTGCTTGCTCCCCACCCCAACAGAGAAGGTATCACTGTGTTTACTGAACAGGGCTGTGCAATTTAATGGCAGCTCATTAATACTCTCACTCTGGGGCCTTGAATAAGTAATTAAATTTCTGCGGCTGTGCCACTGAATGGGAAATAGCTAATGTGTGTTCACCCGGTTAGAGGGAATAGCTGTGCGTTCCTGGGTCTTGGAAATGTGTGACTGGTAACTACCCCTTAATGCTCCTGAAAAACATCAGGAGAACATGCTGTCTGAAAGTGAAAAATCCATAGTGGGGTTTGAACCAGGGGCTGCTGCAGGGTTCTGATGGGAGGAGAGTGGTGTTACAGCCTGGTAAAGGACAGCTCTGGGGAAGAGGAAATCGTTTAATTTGTGTGAAATTTGGGGTGATCCACTTCAAGGTGGTTATCTCCTGAAGAGAGTTTGCAGTCCATGTGTAACTGATGCTGGACGAGTTAATGCACGATAGGAGAACAGCCCAGTGGAGGCTTTGTAGTGCAGACCAGGGTACCCATCAGCTTCCACACAGGGAAAAGGGAAATGCCAAGTAATGAAACATTCATCCTGTAAGCCATAGGAAACAAAACTAATTGATTGTTAAGCTTTCCGTATTTAATCTCATGTCAGCATGAGCCAGGGGGTTGCTGCCTTTTCTTTTAATTAGCTAAATAGGTAATTACTTAGGATTAACAAATCCTGAATCCGGGTGCTGGGGGTTAACAGCTTAAAAATCAATAAAAGTATTTATGAAGGGAACTGACTTTGCCTTTCGTGGTGGGATCCTGCTGCTGTTGTGGGGTGACACCTAGTGTGTGTATTGGGCAACAAATTCCACAAATCCTCTGGAAACTGACTTGATTGTAATTCTGGAAGTTTTGATTTTCCACATCAGCTGCATAGCTTGGCCACTCAGCAACACCACCAAACAATGTGTTATTCAAAGAAGAAATGTTAATTAGAAGGAAGGAATGTGGAGGGTTAACTGTTCATTTTGTAAAGTGCTTTTTTGCAATTAATATTGCCACATTTTTAGATCTAATTTTATATTCTCTAATGTGCTTTGGCCTTGTCTTTTCCAAAATAGATATTCCCAAAGTGATACGACAGTTGTACTGTGTTATTTTTCCCTGTTTCAGCTAAAAGGTCAAAACTAGGTGAAAAACAAGTTTACTTTTTGTCTGCTAAGGCTTAGCTCTCTCCAGATTTGCAATGTACTAGCAGTACATGTTACAGTTGTTTCTAATGTCCTTGTTCTCAGTGATTTGAGGGGAGTTAGAGCTGCCAGTTGAGCTCTGTATGTCACAGACCTCACCAAGGGTGCATTACATTTATATCCATTTTCTGGGTCTCATAACAGTATTGTGCCATCATTTCATTGTGAAACCTTGGATTTTTTACCTTTTTTTTATAATGAAGTATTTTTTTTATTGCACCGTCAGGCACTGATTCCTCTGACATTGCATTTTTTCATCTCTAATGAAGCAAGAGCAAACTGCTGCTTTCAATACAATACATTGATCAGTTTCTTCCAATGTGAAAATTACTTGTAAAACTCTTTACAGGAAATAATCAAGTTACTGTTGAGTTCTTATTGCCATGGGTCCTGGTTTCTCCTTTCTTGAGGTTGCCCCTTTTATTTGACTTTCCTCCTTTATTTAACTTTCATTGTTACCATTTGCATTTTCCAATGTCTGCACAGCTCAGTAACTTAATTTCCCCACCTTCAAATTATCCTACACTTGAAATCAAGTTACCATTAAGAGTCACAGCTTTAAATTGAGGCTGTAGATTCCTTTACGGCCTTGCAGTGGGTTCCTCTGCCTGCTGGATTTCCCAGTTGCTGTCACACAGACTTGACTGGCTGACTCTCAAGCTCACTAGAGTAAAAAAGAGGCTTTTTGCCTATAACAATAACATTACCTATAGCTCTTCTTTTCTACACATAGGAAATTTCTTTTTGGACCATTTACGGTTCATTCTGCCATAATAGATTGCTTCATCTGTTACTGCTCTTATAATAACATTGCTGTTGTTCTCACAGCATTCAGTTGTAAATTCTGTGTTTCATGTGTTTGACTGTTTCTTGTTATGCCTGGGACAGTTATAAGTGCTCTGTGTGCTTTGGGCAGACATTTTCCCTCAAGGAATAACTGTAAATAATTTATTAACACAATAAATGGAGTATCCCTTTACTCAGACTGCACTGCTGCAGCCGTGCTGACTCCATCAGGCTCTTGGCTTCACCTGATTTGAAGAGGAGCTGGGAAATGTCCAAGTTACTGTAGGTTTTAGTAGTTGAACACTGAAACTCTTGTGGCAATAGCACCATCAGTGCTTGAATACAGAGACCTAGGAGAGCTCTTTTGCATTGACTTAGCTAAAAGTAAATCTGCCTGCCACTGACTCACAGAAATTCCTTATCAGGTACAGGATGTAGCAAAAGAGCTTGTTTTGGTTTTTTTTCTCCAAATCTATTCTCCTGGAAGGAATGTTACTCCAAGCTTGACATTGACACTGCCTCCAGGAGTGTGTTCAGTCAGCAAGGGCAACCTTTGTGTGGCTAGTGGTTTAATAAGAGACCTGGGATGGCACATTCCAGAGCAGCTTCTTGCAGCTCTGGCAACAATGCCTGTTGTCTCCCTCTGTATCAGTGGAGCTGGAAAACATCCTGGCTGTGAGGATCTTGGTCCCAGCATCAGCTTTCCTTGTAACCTGCAGCAAGGCACCCAGCATGCAGGGATAGGCACAAAGCTGCCAATCATGGGATGATTCAACAATGAGCACAAAAATAAAAGGCTTTTTAAAAGCAGTATCAGTGTTGGTTCAGTCAGAATGAGTCTGCTGAAATACAAACCCGGGTGGTTTTTATTTTACTTTGATGAAAGAGAGAGATCTAGCTTTGAAAAAGCAGCATCCTGTGTAAACTAAGATTTAAACTTAACATTATTCCTAGTCATGCAGGAAGTCCAAATGAAAAAGAACTATGGATAATCAGTTAAAAGAACTGACAGATACCCTGATGTGTTGATCAGTAGTAATACCTAATTTCTATTTCAAGTGTGCTATAATGGATTACCATATAGATGCAGCAAAGCACTAAGCATTAAATAGATCTATGTGTTTTCTGGAAAAGCAATATTATTTCGCACTGTGGGGTTTCTTAAAATATTTCTTATTAGTGTACTGTGCAACTAGGAACAAGATGTCAATAGCCAGCTTGGATTCACAGCAGTGTGGCTAACAGTCTGGGCTGAAGGGGAAGAAGCTATAATTTGTTTTATAGGAGCAGCAATATGTGTTTTTCAGAACACCAGGGGTGGGGAGGGTGTAGAAAATGCGGCTGGAAATATGGAGTTGAAAGGAGAACAACTGGAGCTTGTTCATGGCTTGTGCAGTCTCATGTGACACTGCTGCACCATGCTCACAGGGAGAATCACCAGTTGAAGGCTGTGCTGGCTGGAATGGGTGGTAAACTCAAAGCCTTCAGAAATTGTTATTTAAAGGTGTAGGTTTTAGCCATGGTAACTTATTTTTGCATTTCAGACTAAATAGGAACTCTGAGCTTAGGTTATTTCCACTGGCACTGCTCTGGTGCAGAGCTGTGCTGTCTGCAGCAGGGAGCTGTGACACCAACCATCCAGGTTGCCTTTTTTACAATGACTCTGGTTGCTATGGGGTAGGATCATGCATTTTTCCAGAATGCATCCATACATTTATTGTTTTCCTGGTTTTGAGATGCTACAAAGGAGAACCCATGGGAAATCACTTCAGCATCCCAATTTTCTCTCCATGGAAAGATTTTGGGATGTGGAAGCTTTCCTCAGATAGGAGCTCCTGTTTTCTTGCTATTGATTTCAACCCTTGAATTGTTTTAATTCAGCCACCTGACAAGAGATTCTGTGTTTTATAAAGGAAAAAGGACAGTAAGCATGTTGTTTTCTCCCCCTCCCCTCCCTGCTTCGTGCAGTGCAGAATTCAGACTTGCTTTTCCTGGTTGTTCTAGTACTCTGCAACAGCATTCCTAGTCCAGGTTTTCTGTGAGCAGAAATTCTGAAATTCACTAACACTTGGATGTGAAAGTTGTTACTAAGTTCTTTTTCAAACGAGTCTTTATTATGCCGCTTTTATACCTTATCAGCTCACACCCTGTTGTGGCTCCCTTTCTGGAAGCGAACTTTGTGTTCGAATTTAGTTGAAATTGTGTAACAGGCTTAAACTATGGGAACAAAATATGTGTGGTTTTGTCTGGTTTCCCATGATAAATGTGTGATGTGTGAAGGTTCCTCTCTGCAGGATGTTGTGACACTTGAGTCCAGCCTGGGTTTTGTTGCCAGTTTTTGTTTCCTGGAACCTTTCCTTGCACACCTTGGGCATGCCATGTGTGATGGGTCTGACGTGGACCTGGGCACAGACCCAGCTCCCATGCAGAGTGCCACCACTCCAGCAGGGACTTAGAGTACTCCTGAGTTAGGTTAGAAGCTTCTGCCTGCCCTGTGTGGGTTAAGTAATGATTAATGCTAGCAATAGTCCTGAGGAGTGCTGTGCTGCCAGTGTTCTCATGTTTATATGGATAATGATAATTCTTTGTCTGTGGATCCTGCAATCTGGTTGGCAGAAACCTGGTCCTTAACTAACAGGTAAAGCCCCCATGTGAGTCATGGCCTCATTTTTAGCCAGTCGGAGCCTTCATCCCAAGCGTGTTGCTCCTGCCCACAGATGGGGAGCTAGACCTCTGGGCACCAGCCACCTGCTCCTGTGGTCCCTGCTGGCACAGGGTCCTGGGAGGGAGCTGGGGGGTAATGTTGAAAGAAAATACAAGGAACATAGAAGGGACATGCCTGGTTCATATTTTTACTATGGAAAACTTTCAGAAATGCCAAATACTATCTGGGGAGCACATGCTATGGTGAAGGAGTGAAGGAAGACCAGCATGTCTGTGACCTGAGGTCTAGTTCCCTAAGTCTATGAACTTGTTATGGCTTCCATTTTCTGCCACGGAGAAATGAATGTGCCGTTTCCAAAAAGACTATTTTGAGTGTTATGTATAATTTCTGAAGCACTTGTGTCCAAAGTAAAAAGCCTGTCTTAGTCCATGTCTCGAGCACACTGTGGTTAGTGGCAGTACTGATTTGTGTGTCAGCCAACCCCAAAGGGCTACCCACAGTGCCAGTTCTTGCTTTCTTGGCTGTGATGCTTTGTCCCTCCTGTGAGCTTCTGTGTGCATAACACCAGCCAGTGGGTCACAGTTGCTTGAGTGACTTTGTCATTCATGTTGCATCCTGCATGTGGTATTTCTGAAGTGGTTCTTAGTGGTGCTTTGTTGTGCAGAAGTTTGTGCCAGTGATTTTGTTTGATAATTACTAGGAGCTCTGACTGTCAGTCATTTATAATATTGTTTAATTTGATTTCCAAAAGTAGATTTTGAAAACTGGTTTCCCATTTAAATATATCTTCCTAATTTCATACATGGATGGCTGAAAAGTTGTGAGATGTGGATGCTGTGTTAAGCCCTAGCTGTACTCTCACTCCAACAGCACAGGGCAGCTCACTTACAAGTGAGCTGCCCTGTGCTGCTGCCACACCTGCCTGCCAAGCCGTAGTCCTTGCTGCCAGTAGTTTCAAAAAGAAAAAGGTGTCTCGAAGCCTGTTAAGTCTTTTTAAAGGTCATATTTACCCAAGTAAGACCCCCAAATAGTTTTGATTTATCCAGTTTATTTAATAGCATTACATCCATTACACTGACAAAGGAAACATTTGGAAGCCCCAAGTGTTCTTTCCAGCTAAGATGCTAAGACTCCATTCAGGAAAGCACTTAAGCATGTGCTTAGGTAGCGTTGTGGGTGCCCTGTAGTGTAACCAAATATCAGGGAATGGGTTTGACCACAGCCTCTCCCTGCGTTTGATCTGCCTCCAGGAGGATCAGCCCACAGCTGCATAGGCAGGCTGCCACGGATTATTCCCTGAGTGCTTTATTAACTCCCTGTGCTGGGAATTAAATCAGCCTGGCTTTGTGTAATTTGGTTCAGTGTCACTGCACTGCTGGGAGCACAGGTAAAGCAGCTTTCAGGAACAGTCACTGCCCTGCTGTTCCCTGCGCCTCAGCCCGAGGATCAGAGCCCATCAGCTGATGGGAACACAGACCCGAGCCAGCCAGGCTCAACCGCGAGCCAGAGCACGCAACTGGAGTCATTACAGGCACTGCAGTAAGTGTCAGCCCAAGTGAGCTGCTTGGAAACTTGCAAGTTCTTCATCAGCAATCAGGTGGTGTTCTGCAGTGCTGGGGGTCTGCAAGGCAGTGGGAAAGGGACAGTGGTTCATGACAGTGTCATGGTGTTTATTCAGGACTGTTCCAAACATCTTTCTCAGTAATCAGAGAGTGAAGTAATGGACAGGAGTCCTTGCCATGATAGGCATTTGCTTTCTATTGTGTTCTGTATATATGTATTGCCATTTCATTTGTGTCTTGTATAGTAGTTTCTCTGTATTTTCTGAATGAGCCAGTTTATTATGGAAAATTTGACTACTTAGTTTTGTTTCCTGCAGAAAATATTGCAGCTACTACCTGAGAGGATTTTTTATCGATGGCATTTTCGCAGTATAGGTAAGAAGAAACAGTTTATAAACTTCTTAGTACAAATAAAATCCATGTTTTGTCTAGTCACTTCTCTGGTTCCACAAGCCATATTAACCCCAGGATCCCTCAGTGCTGACTACACACACAGTACTCACGTAGGAGACTTGCAGCTCAGTATTCCCAAAGCAGATGGGAAAATGTCTTTGCCTCCTCTAACAGCTCTGTGTCACTTGCTTGGGATGGTTGGATTGCCTGATTCATTTTCATTTTGCATTAATGCTCTTCCAGTTTTTACATTCTTTGCTTTACTTGGGTCCTATTCTCCTCTTTCATGTGCCAGAAGCTATCAGGATGGGGGGGGGTATAAACTAAAACACCTTTCTCGAGTTAGGTCTCCCTTTGGATTCACAACTGACACCACAGACCGAGTGAGTAGGGTTGAGGGGGTCTGTATGTTACTCTTGCAGATCTGCATTATGAGGGCCTTGCCAGGGATCATACATGAAATGAATGTTGAAATTCCTAAATGTTGCTTTTTGCCTGAGGGTAGATTCTGTGTGGAAGACAAGCCTCTGCCTCCTGGAAATTCATCCTGTAAAACTTGGGCTGTGAACAGGCAGCTGTTGGGGCTGAATGGGATGCAAACTATGGGGCTGCTGCAGGGATCAGGAGCTTAAGTTCTTCTCTGATATTCCTGTATTCACTGTGCAGTGTAGTTCCTTAATATTTGTGGAACACTCAATTGTCACAGTATTTGTGGGAATTAAATGAGGGATTTTTGGTTTAGAGCCAGTTAGCAAAGGAAAGAGATTGAGGACAAAAATGTAAACGTTTTAGTAGCTCTTTTGGATCAATTTTTCGTTGAATGAGTGATCCACAATGTTATTGGCCTTTATGAGTGGAATTATGGATATACAGTATTTCTGCAAGCTTAGCCCCAGCTGTCTTTTCCCAATTCTTATGGAATGGGGGATTTTCCCAGCATCTTGTTAGAATGTGGCCTTGGCCATGGCAGATAAGATGTCCGTGGGTGACTTGGTCAGACCAGGACTAACTGTTCTTCCCCCACATTCTAATGGTATTGGAGCTTCTGGAACAGGGGAGGGAATAGCAGGAGTCCATCAGACAGAATGCTTGGATTCAGATTGAATAAAGCTGGAGTCAGATGGGCACAGAAATACTGGAAGGTAAAATACACTTATTTTGGTAGCCAAAACACCTTGAAATCCAATGCAGTCCTTTAACTCAATTTCCTCTGATTTAAATGCCTTTGATTCATCACTACCTTGAAAATTCTGCTTCCAAAGTGGTTACAGCATCTTGTTTTGCTCCTTATTAAAGGCTATTTTATGCTATTCTGTTCCTCCAAGTAGAACTTCTTTGTTGTGGTTGGGTTTGTTTTTCAGCACTGTCTCATCAGCCATGTTTGTCATCAGAACAAGGAATTGCTGTTGTAGAAGAACAATGTGTGGAAGTTAAAGGTCAAGGCAAGGGCTGTTGTCACATTTCCACTCAGTGCTAACAAAAATAAGAGGAGACATCTGCCTGACCACTTCATACCGGTTCAGCTGAACTAGCCCAGAACCAGTTGGTTTCAGTTAGTTGTTTTGTAGCTAATATGTGCTTTATGCTTCTCTTGAGTGGTCATATTTGGGTAATTTTTTGACTGTGGCCAATAAATGACCTATAAAATTTGTCAGAGCAAGTATTTACAGCTGCACCTTCTGATTTCCTTTTTGCTTAATATGTATTTCCTATATGTGCTAAATAATTTCCGTTTAATACAGTGAGATGGTGATATCTGGAGGGAACGGGCCCATTTAAGGAATGCACATAATTTACAGATCTTCCTATTAATGAGAATAATTTGAGCCATTGCCATCTGACTAAGCCCCAAGTTACCTCAGTGGAAAGATCAAGTATAGTTAATCTTACACCACTGATGATGGTGATTGTAACTGGATCATTTCTGGTTTTTTCCTCCCATAATTGTCTTAAAACCCAGTGCAGTGTAAACAGCACTAAAGTAGCCTTTTCTGGAGTGTTTTTGGAAAACGCTGTGGTGGGAAGTGCCCTTCTTTGTGTCTGACCTGTGCTATTTAACTTTCCCAATCCAGGGTCGATTCTGAAGAAACTTTTGCACACTGGAAATTCTCTCAAGGTATTTCTTTGATATTTTCATATTTCTTTTCACTTTAATTCTTACCAAGTACATTACTTTGCAACTTTCCAGTATCAGTTTTTTAGATTGTTAGGCTCTGTAATTTTACTTACTCTCCTTTTAATCATAAATTTTGTTATTGTGATTCTAGATCATTGTAATATTTGTCTTCAGGCATTTGGTGCCCCAATGACCTTTGTAAAGTTACCTGGAAAAGGTATTAATAGATTTTGCTTAATACTTAATTTTTTCAGCTCTCTAGAATTAAGTATTCGGTATTAAATCTAGGATTAAATTAATACTGTGAATCCCCTTGGTAGGATGGAAAGATTTACTAGCATATAGCTGGGATGGAAGTACTTGTCCCATGTGTTCTGAGCTATTTAACTGCATTACTGCACTTAGAAACTTTTCCCTCAAATCCATCCCTTTATAGATAAGATGTGAAGGAATCCGACTGTTCCTGCTCTGGCTTCAAGCCCTTCAGACCAACTGTGCAGAGGAGCAGATACTGATGTTTGCCTGCCTTGTGCCTGGCTTCCCCCCACTGATGTCCTCGCGGGGGCCCTGCACACTGGAGAGCCTCATCAGCCCTCCCACTGCGCCCGACGGTGAGTGAGGGAACACAGCTCCCACTGAGGGTATCCTGGTGTTCCTCCTGGGGAAGGTGTCACATGGATGGTGTTGTTCATGGCTTTAAACCGAGGTGTATGGAATTTGTTGAGCTGTTGTGTGTTGCAACTGCAGAACCGCCTGATGTTGTCATTCAGAGCTGTCAGGGTTTGTTGTTGGTTGGTTTTTAATCGAGATGCAGCAGTATGAACATTTGACTGCAAAATGAGCAGGTGTATAGGTTTCCAGGTTCTTGGTTGACCTGCAGTGCCTGCTGGTGTCAGCCCTTCCAAACCACAGGGAATCAGAGGCTGGTGCCATCCTTTATGGGATGTGGCAGGGCCTGGGAAAATACTGGTAGCCCAGCAGTTACTTTGCACAGCTTAGTAGTGCACTGATGGGTATTTTCAATTTATCTTTTCATAGAAAATATCTTTTATTTCACTATTTTTATTTCACTATTTACATGCTTTATGTGTTTGAACCTTTTAATTTTAGCTAAGGTTTTTCCAGAAGAAGTAACCCCACTTTTGCCAGCTGTCTCTGGAGAGAAAATTGCTGAAGACCAGACCTGCTATTTCCTTCAGCTTCTGTTAAAATACATGGTGATTCAGGTGAGGAGGATGTGTGCTTGTAGCTAGTCATATTTGGAGCGATGTACTTGTGGTAGAAAATTAAACCCACCCTGTATCTACATGGAGCTGGGTTTGCCCCTCCCCAGGAAGAAGTTGGCTTCTGCAATTGGTCTTGTTTTTGAAAGCAATACCTCCCAAAAGTATTTCCTTGTGCCATTTTTGCTGAAAATAAGTTTGTCACACTTGTGATAAGAATTAAAGAGTGTTATCTAAACTTGCAGAATAACTGACAATCTTATGTGCTTGTGGTTGCATTTAGAAAATTGACATGAGGTAAAGATGCAATTTGTTCTCTTTGGACACATACCTAGATGAGAAGAAATGTAAGAAGACCCCTGGAGGAAGAGATAAAAAGGAGAGATGGCTTCTGAGATTTTTAAAAAAGGATGCAAGTAACATGTACATAATATTTAATTAGAAATAGATCAGATGAATCTATGCAGGAAATAAATTAAGATAATGTATCTATTTAAAAAGTACAAATGAAGAAACATTTGAAATAAAGTGGAAACTGTGTAGACAATAAACATTAAAGAGCTCAGTATTAAAAAAAAGATAAAATATAATTAAATACTTTGAGATACACTTTTTAATATCAAAAGGCAAGACCAAAATGATATTTGGAAGGGGTTTTGTCATCTGGAATAAATGCTTAATTTTGAAAAGTGGCTGCATGAAATGATCAGCTTCCTAGCCAGCACCCTTTGTTTTACACATCAGAGTCTCACAACACTTCAGTTAAAAAAAGTCACTCTTCCTTTTAACTCTTATTACATGTTTGGGATCTAAATAAACCTGACTACACTGTAAATCCAATTGCACAGTGGTTCATCAACGTTCATTTATCTGTGTTGCTTGTTACTGGGGAGCACAGCTGGGCAGAAACCTTGCTGCAGACAAGATCTGAGGTTAAAATAATGTGATGCAAATACCGAATAATTGCCCAGAGACAGAATGTAGAGCAAATCTGCATCTTTAAGAAAGTTTATGCCTCCAACTGAGAAGAATTTAATGTAGTTTTATTTACACAAAAAATATGGAATGTGAAACCTCACTGGTCTTGTCTCCAAGCTCTACAAAAGCAGGGTGCAGTGTAAGTTTCACACAGAATCACAGAATGGGTCAGATTGGAAGGGACCACAGAGGGTCACATCTGGTCCAACCTCCCTGCTCAGGCAAGGCCATCCCAGAGCACATGGTGCAGGATTGTGTCCAGACAGTTCTGGAACCTCAGTGAGGAGGCTCCACAGCCTCTCTGGGCAATCTGTTCAGTGCTCAATCACTGCAGATTAAAGAATTTCTTCATGTTCAGGTGGGACTTCCTGGGCGTCAGCTTCTGCCTGTTGCCTCTTGTACTGTTGTTAGTATGAGGTGGAGCAGCACACCATTCCTTGTGGGATCCTTCACTACCTATGACAGGAAGTTGTCATCAGTGCTTTCCAGAAACATCCTGGAATGTTTGTGCTTTACCCTGTTGCTTCTCCAGCTGATATGTCAAGGTAGTGAAAGTCCCTCAGCAGAACCTGTGCTGTGACTTTGAGGCTGCTTCAAGCTGCCTGTAGAAGGCCTTAGCCACTTCTTCCTCCTGCTCAGGTGGTCTGTAGAAAACATCTACACCAATGTCACCCTTATATCCTAACATATAAGCTTTTGACTTGCTTATCATCCACCTCATGACAGAGCTCATTCATAGTATGTTAAGGGGTTGGAGTGGACCATTCCAAGTGTTGCCTCATACAGAGGGCAACTCCACCACCACAACTCCCTGGTCTGTCTCCTACACTAGCCCTTTATGCCAGCATTCCAGTCATGTGAGCTATCCCACCCTATTTCCATAATCACAGTGAGAAACAAGCCCTATGATTGCACAGGGATCTCTGGTTCTTCCCTTTTGTTCCTCAGGCTGCATGGTTGGTGTACAGGCACTTTATGGAGGTGTTGGATTGTGTCAATATCCCAGAGGAGTGCAGAGGGACACCCCATGCTCCTGTCTTCTGGTTACATCTATGCACATAACCCTTAATGGCCATGTGCAGCTCATTTCAAATTGAAGGTGTTTTAACATGAAAAAAAGTAACTCTTTGTCCAAATTTGGCACGGTTTTCCAAGAAATTTTAGTTTGAAACTTAGTAAAGAGCAACTTGAAAGTCCATGTGTGGCTTTTTGGTGGTGGCCCATGCAAGAATGGGGGTGTGCTTTTAAAACCTAGCTGAGGTGTCAGCCTCTTCCTTGTTGGGGGGAACACGGTGCAAAGGAATATTGCATGTGTGTGCAGCCATAGTGAACATGAAAATATTTATGATTAAAGTGTTACCCTGAGTAACTTTGTAGAAATTTACATGTAAGAAGCAAATTTGTTAAAAGCATAACATGACAGTTCCTGTCCTTCCCTGAACAGCACAAACACTTCTAATGAGCTTCTATTGAACTCACTGTCTTTGGGATGCTAAAGCCCTCCTGGTAGTAGTTGATATTCTTACTGCAGTTTGTAAAGGGATATTAGGACTGTGCTAATTTTTCTGTCTCTTGTTAAAGTGTAATTGCTTTAGCTTTTGTACTCAATGCAGAACAGTTGTCAGTATAACACATTGACTTAAAGCTTTTTATTTCTCTTTAACTCCACTACAAAGGCTGCAAGCTTGGAGTGGAAGAATAAGGAGAACCAAGACACTGGGTTTAAGTTTCTCTTTGCCTTGTTTAGAAAATACTATCTTCCTCACTTGTTTCCATCCTTTACAAAGCTAACCAACCTCTACAAACCTGTGCTTGGTAAGTTGTGGATTTTGTCTTTAAATTAAAAAAGCAGGTGACTATTCTCTGCAGCACCTCTCTTACCTCCTAGTGTATTGCTACAGTTCTGTTGGATGAGGACTTTTCCTCCTTGGTTTCATGTTTTCTTCTAGCACACATTTGATTTGCTACGATAATGCAGGAAAGTGCTGCTGCTCCTGGCTGCATAAAGTCTGGTCTGATTCCCCTTTCCTAAGGACCCTTCCACTGGCATAGCATTTATATGGAGTGAGCACAGCTCTGTGGTGTGTAATGGAGACAGAAGCTGGTCTCTGATGGGTATTTTAAGAACCAGTTAGTTCCCCAGATGTGAGGGAGTAGCTGATTTAATTTTTCTTGCCTTTCCTTAGTTAATTCTTTCTGTGAAGAAAAAATGCCCAGAAAGGCCAGCTGAAAGGAAATAGAGACTTACCTCTGCAGCTATAGGATTAAAAGTGTGTTGTTTCAGAAACACTCATGTTTTTCCTGATTTTCTATTGAATTATGTGTTAGTTAATGAGAGCAGTGGTGTTAATCCTCACCTGATGTACTGCAGCCCTTTCTTCATCATCCTTCCCCTCCCTTTGACTTCTAACTCCTGTCCTTTGCAGTTTTTAGTGTCCAAAGTCACTCCAGTGCCACTTTGGCTGTACTGTTCACAGCTGGAGCCCAGGCCTTACATGTTTTTCAGCTATATACAAGTGATTTTTCCTTAAATCTGAGCATGTGAATGAAATGTGACCCAACTTGTCTCCCTTTGGCAACCTTCCAGTTCTTCCCATGTGTTTTTTCTTTTGCTTCAGCATGTGCAGTGCTCTTTGCCCTGGGTTAACTTCTCTTTCTGATGCACTAAATGTTCTTTCTCTTATTCATTGCATTATTGAGTGTTCCAGAAGTGTCTTCTCTTTCTCACTGCACTTTATTATGAAACTCTGTGAAACTGATGAAATTACATTGTTGTAGTATGAGTTATTTGCTTCAGATTTTGCCCTTCTTTTTGCAGCCTTTCACTTTTGTTTTGTGTGATGCAAGTGGTAACCTCCAGGAATGAACTGTGCTTTCATGTTCTTGCTGTTCTTCAAGAGTGATAAAGTTATGCTAGAATATAAACATTAACACAATAAAAGCAGTTGGGCATTGCATCTGTTAATTCATAGGGAGAAAATGTTGGTGATGTGTTCAATACATTTGACCAGAGTCTGAGAGCAGTTACAGTTTTCTAAGGTTATATTTTCTTTCCACCTTTCCTTTTTTCTCTCACCAGATATTCCTGATGTGAGGCCAAGACCAGTGTATGTCACGGCAACACGGAACAATGAAAGTGTCTATAGCACAAAAATCCCTTACATGGCAGCTCGAGTTGCTTTTATTCAGTGGCTCGTTACCTTCTTCCTTGAAAAGAAGTATTTAACTGCTGTTCAGAACACAAAAAATGGAGGAGAAATGCTCCCTAAACTTATTCAGGTGGGCTTTGAAGTTTACCTCTCTTGTCTTATGTACATGCTAACCTTGCAGTGAGATCATCACTGCACTGACAGCTGAAGCAAGGAAGAAATGCTGCCCCATAGTGAATAAATAATGAAGCTGCTTATTTAATAGAGGAGGGAACCTCCAAGGAAAACCCTTCAGTAATTCAGTAGGAGTTTATTTTCCTCATAGCTTGTTGCATTCCCGGCTTCAGCAGCATTATATTTAGACTTCTGGAATTTACTCTGCAAACTGTCATACTCGTTTGTGCCATGGACAGTCTCCTAGTGACAGCAAAGGCTGGTTTGTTTTCCTCTCAGTTATAGCAGCTGTTTACAATGAGATATTAGATAAATATTTCTTTTATAAACTCCTGGTTGATTCTTCTCTAGGATTAGGTACCTTACAATGAATTTTATAAAGAGATGATGCTTTTTCTTTTAAGAGACTCTTCCTGTTAAAAATTTAGAATCAATGTCAGTGTATATTCG